TGCTAACCCGTAACGCTGATGGTGCCGAGGATAGGGATGGAGTCGGAGAGAGACCAGTTTTAGAGGTCGTGGAAGAAGAGTGGGTAGGGGGTTGATTTTTCTCCATACCCTTACTTGGTTGAGGTGATTTAGACAGCGTAGGAGAGTCCTCTGAGGAGGGACGGAGGGACTTCTCATATAAGAGTCTTTAGTCTATTGTCTCGGTCTTGGCGCGCCCTCGCCGTTAGTTTGGAGCAGTGCAGGCACTTCTGAGTCTGGTGCGCCTCCCGAAGGCACTTATTACAGTTGGAGTGCCCGTCGGAAGCAGGCATGGCATCTCAACATGATTCACAGTGTTTGAAGCCCGGCGAGCCGGGCATGAGGGGTTGGGGAAAAGTGGCAAGCCGCAATGAGAAATATATTTTTTTTAAATAACTAGACAGGAGGCGAACAGGGCTAAAGAACTTGGATGATGAGGTAACTAGGGAATAAAACGAGGTATTTTACTATTTTTAGAGAGAAGTAAGGAGAACAGAGGGCTCTGTCTGCTGCCGAGGACAGTAGAGAAGGAACTGAGGAGCTGCGCACGCAGGCGCCCTTCAATTCCAATGACACTAGAGGACGCCACGGTGCCTGCGCGGCAGAAACAGCTAGAAAAGTCTCTGGTCACCGGCGTGAGGATGCACCAGCACCCACAGTGGAACACCCACGGGGACCACTCGAAGGAGAACATTAAGGTTACAAAGTGACTCAAAAGTCAGGAAATGCCATATAAATATATATGCACACAGATGATGCAAATATTAGGAAGCCAGAACTTATGTTTTCACTCCTCCAACATCTAACCAAGGCATAGAAAATACCTCACTGATCTAGTAACTAATGATCTAAGGACCCGTCTACCCAGGTGAACTCACATAGCTTTCACTTGCCCTTTCATTCCATTCCCTGTATCAGTGATCTCTAACCTTCTAAAGCACAAGATCACTTTTTCAATTTAAGTGCAAGCCAAGGTCTACCTTAAACCCAAATACTCTTGCTCGCCTCTTTTGTGCCCTTTCGAAGCCCCCTCTTCCCCACTCACTCCATCCTCCCTCCCTTCCCCATCCTTCCTCACTTTTATCAGGTAGGAGCAGTGAGTTGGGGTGCAGGCTCTGGTCTTGGATTACAGGATTTGGACTGTGAGAGGGGCTGTGAGCTGAGCTTAGGGCAAGCAGTTGGGGTGCTGGAAGGGTTTCTAGGAGCAGGCTCTGGGAAGGTGTTTGGATACGTGGGTGCTTGAGGCTAGGGCTGGGGTTTGGGGTGCAGGAGGGAGTTCATGACTGGGGTAGGGTTTCAGGATGTGGGGTCCGACTGGGCACTGCTTACATCAGGTGGCTCTTGGGTGGTGGTGCAGTGGGGCTAAGGCAGTCTCATCCCTGCCCTGGCCCTGGCCCACTCCCAAAGGCAGCCAGCAAACTCCCTCCCAAGTCCTATTGTGACCCTCATTCTGCTTTGTGGAGATAGAATAGAGGGTGAGAGAGGGGTACTTTGACATCAGCTCCCCTCTTCCCCTTCCCCTATCCTGCACAGCAAGCAAGAATCTACCGGGGGTTGTGGGAGGCAGCTCTAAGGCAAAGGGCAGGAGCTGCGCAGCAGTGGGGGGAGAGGCAGCTGAAGTGCCAGCACTTCATAGCCCCTTGGTCAGGCCAGTCAAGGTCTCCTGTCAGACTCCAAGATCTACCAGTAGATCCCAATCTACTGGTTGGTGACCACTGCCCTATATATTGCCGTGGAGTCCTCCCACATAAATGCTACATGCCTTCCACATACAAAAAATATTGTGTTTGCAAATGGGAGTGGTTTCTTTGTATTGCTGTTCTTATGCCTGTTGTCAGAGGAGAGCACAAATGCAAAAGCAGTTTCACCTTCCTACTTCTCAGTGTGTGTAGGTGCATGTGACAGGGCGGTGAACCCCCTGCCGCCAGGGCTCGCCAGCACCCACACTTACTGGGGGGATCCGAGGCACTCAGTGGTGACAAGGCCACCCCGTACGCAGGCCATGCAGGGCCTGCTCTGCCGCGGCGCCCTGCGCATGTACAGAGCCCCGGATGACATCCGCGTCTCCCGGCATCCCTGGAGGGGCAGTGACAGAGGAAGGGTGGGGCCCAGCCTGTGTGGGTAATTCAAAATGCCGGAGGCTGAACACTGGAGGGAAGGTCAGGCAGCTGGTGTGATGGAGGCACTGGAGTGAGAGACATTGCTGGGAGGAAGTAGCTCAGGACGGGGCAGTCAGAGCCTGCGGGTTGGTGAATTAAGGGGTCACACCCCACCAACCAGACAGGAACAAGGATTCCTGCCCTTAGAGTCCTGGGCTGGGGTCTGGAGCGAGGGTGGCCCAGGCCCCCCTCCCACACTACCGGAAAGGCGCTATTCGCGGCAACGTGCCATAGAAGTGGCGGACAGATTGACTCAAGCCTTGGTTGGGAGGACAGCTACTCTGGGGAAGGCACGGGGATAAGGAACTAATGGGGTGTCTTAGTGGGGATAAGAGACGTAGGGGGTACAGGATCTGGGCCCAATGATGAGCCCTTTGGTAGGCTGAGGGCGTCAATGCCCCCTACAGTGCATTAGGGATGAAATAGTGTAATCGTTTAAACAGTTAATGGATAAGCACGAGGTTATCTGCACTGTAACGCAGGGGTGGGGAACCTTTCTAGGGTCAAGGCCACTGACCGACGGAAAAATGAGTCAGGGGCCGTACACAAGTGAGAAGAGGAAAAAAACGCTCACTGTGGCCCCTGACTGAGAAGGAGAAAAACATTCTCCTCGCACACCAGAGCCTGGGAGACCCAGCCTAGTAGATTTTATGCACTCCAGCCCAGCAGGGGGATAACAGGGGGGCTGGAGCACCAGCATGGGCATGAAGCACCAGCATGTAATCCCTAATGCTGGGGGGAAGAGGGGCCTGTGAACCTCGGGGGCTGGTTCTAAGCAAGCCAAGGGTTGCATCCGACCCCCGGGCCTGAGGTTCCCCACCCCTACCATTAATGGTCGATCCTGGCCCCATTCCCAGGGATCTGACTGCCACCCCATGCTGCTGGCTCTGCCCTTGGAGTGGGGTAGCAGACAGGAACTGGTGCTCTAGGAGCTGACTTTAAAGCCAGCTTTTGGCATGCACCGGCTCCCAGGAAGTCAGATGCTGCCCCGTGCTGCAGGCTCTGTAGTATAAAACTTATACTGCAGAGCTCACAGTGCAGCCAGCTCCCTGGCAGTGAAGTAAGCAACCAGGAGCCAGGTCCTGGCACACACTGGCTGCCAGCCTCACTTCTGGAGAGCTGGCTGCACTGTGGGCTCTGAAGTATGAGCTTTATATTAAGAACTGCCATACTGGGTCAGACCAACAGTCCAACTAATCTAATATCCTGTCTGCCAACAGCGGCCAATACCAGATGCCCCAGAGAGAGGGAACGCAATAGGTAATCTTCATGTGATCCTTCCCCTTTCACCCACATCCAGACAAACAGAGGCTAGGGACACCATTCCTACCCATCCTGGCTAATAGCCATTGATAGACCTAACCTCTATGAATCTATCTAGCTCTTTTTTGAACCCTATTAAAGTCCTAGTCTTCACCACATCCTCTGGCAAGGAGTTCCATGGGTTGACTGGGCGCTGACTGAAGAAAAACCTCCTTTTGTTTGTTTTAAATCTGCTGCCTATTAATTTCATTTGGTAACCTCTAGTTCTTATATTGTGGGAATAAGTAAATAACTTTTCCTTATTCACTTTTTCCACATCAGTCATGATTTTATAGACCTCTTATCACATCCCCTCTTAGTCTCGTCTTTTCTAAGCTGAAAAGTCCAAGTCTTTTTAATTTCTCTTCATATGGGACCCATTCCAAACTCCTAATCATATTTGTTGCTCTTTTCGGAACCTTTTCCAATGCCGATATATTTGTATGTGTAGATTAATGGTTTGCATAAGCGCAATTTAAGAGTGATATTCGAATGAACAAACTAATAAAACAAAATAGTTCTCAACATGCTAACTAACCTCATTTACAAGATCAATTATGTCTCAGTTCTCCTGAAGCTAATCTAGTCAACATTGTAACTCATTTATAGCTGCAAGATAGAGAACAAAATTAACAATTATTAGACTACAGAGGAGTGAGGCATAAAACTAAATGGAGGATTTCTGAGTCAAAATATACCTTTGAAAAATATCAGAAAGATATCTCCTGCAAAGGAGGCAACAATTGCAAAGCTCCCATTATTGTAAAAAGGGAGCAAGTAAGATCAATGCAATGCAAATCAATGCAAATCTTATCTGTTAAGGCCTTTAAATTTAGGGGCACATAGTAATTCACACATTTACTTCTGTTGTTGTTATTTTACAGATACTTTTAGCGGACTTTTCACAAATGCAGAGGATGTTCTATACAATACAGGTATATCCATACTGCACCCGGAGCTCAAAATAAACTGTGATTTGAGCTATGCAAATTGTGTAGCTTATTTCAATTTAATTTCATAATAGCTTATTTTGAAATTTGGCACTGTTTACAGAGCACTTACTTCAAAATAAATCGCTATTCCAAAATGTCCCTTACTCCTCGTGGACTGAGATTTACTGGGACATTGGAATAGCGAGCCTGTTATATTTCATAATAGCGGGCACGCTCAAAAGACGCGGAATAGACGTGTAGCTGTAGCCTAAGATGCTGAGATACCATTGTGGTGATAATGATATGAAAATACAGATAACTAAACAGGTCACTCTCCTGCATATAAGTCATGTATCCTACACGAGAGAGCACTAAATCATCAGTAATTCTACATGTCACTATTTTTGCTGTCATTTGATCACTGCCACACAATGATTCTTGAAGAGCATTTTCAATTAACAAACCAATGATGACAGAGCAATGAAGGAGTTAAATTAAGTTTAGAAGCCTTTTCTTTTTAAATTCTGAGTTTTGTTCTTTGCTGGTGGGTTTTTTGTGAGGGTAGGGAAAAGAATATTTAAAAATTTACCTCAGGATCTTCACAGCAATGTTGAAAAGGTATCATACTGCCCATACCGGCAGTTCCCAGAACTGACATAAAGGACATTTTGTGATCCGACACCCTGGTCTTTTGCCAAATAACTGCCTGAAACAAAATGGCACAGAGTCAAACTTTTGACATTATATTTAAGTTTGTTGAACTCAAGTCTTGTGCAACATTACATGACTAAAAACATACATACATAACCATGCACTTACACGGGACATGCAACATTCTGTATTTTGATTCTCTTGCATTCATAACTTTCAGTGTGAACATACATGTTGTGGTACTTTATGAAATATCATCTCATAAAATCATACTCCTAGTTTAAATAAGAAATAAGAAAAGGAATCTGTTCCCACATATATGTTGCCCATAGATGTAACTTCACTTATGAGGGCTTCTGCAAGAATTGAAATATGTTCATTTGCTGGAAAAATAATCAGCAAAAGAATATATTATGGATCCACTCTGCCATCACATTGACTCATGTAGTCAGTATGTTTGTATTGCTTTAACTGTATCAGGTTGGGGTCCTAAATATGCCATCTCGCATATGCGTCATACTGGCTGGCATTATAATACAGATGTTATGATGCTCATAGTACAATGGTCAAAAGATAAATCACTGTACTGGGAATCATTAGATTAGATTTCTGTTCTTAGATTCAGTGTCTAATTATCACTCTCTGTGCCTTAGTTTCCTTATTTGTGTAAAGAAGGAAATTATGCTTACTTAATCACTCTTTTGTAAAATGCTTTGAGAGAAGAGAATAAAAAAAGACTACACAATTAATTCTACACCTTGTTATGTTGTGCAAGCCCCCTATATAAGTAACACTGGATTTCAGACCCCAGAGGAAACAAGGTTCAAGACTTAGTTTTGACCCTCTTAGCTTTTGTCCTTTTGTACCAACATTAACAAAGAACCTTGCATTTTAGTTAATCCCCTGTTTTTGGGCTAGTCAGTGGAAGAAAGGGTGGTATTTATCAATTGCTTTTGTTTAAAAAAAGCCCTACACCTACATAGCTATAAAAGGTAACATGAGAAATGTTAAGGACCGCCACTCCTATTACTATCTATACTGTTCACAGATATATTCAAGTGTTTAAAATACAAGTTTTGTCTACATGAATTTAGTTTTTGGCAACCTGAAGTATAAACTTACCCCAACACTAGCTTGCAACAAACAAGTGGTGTGGACTATGCTATGGCACAGTATCCTAGTGTGTTTTTATATACTCCCATTTCAAAGTGGGATAAATCAAAACACACTAGAGAACTTTTAGTGCACAACAACATGGTCTATACATATACTTAGCATGCAGCAAACTAGTGATAGGTAGATTTACATCCCAGCTTGTCAACAACTAAGTGTTTGTGCAGACACATCCACAAACGAATGATCTTACAAAAAACTACAATAGCTTGAGCTCCCCAGAACCATTACAGTCTATCAGCAAATATTTTACAAACACTGACAAACCTTAGTTGAAGTTTTCAAAACAAACTAGAGGATTTAATTGCACAACTCATGTTGAAATTAATGGGAGTTGTCTGACTAAAGCTAGTGAGCACTAAAAATCTTAATAATTATACACAAACTTTAGCCAGCGCAACGTTCCTCAAGTGCTTCGGCACTTAAGCACAAGATAAGTTAAGATAAAAAGTTAGATTTAACCTGAAATTTCTTAACAATGTTGAATTTGAAGTGTCCTAATGTGTACAAAGAACCTAAGAAATGTAAAAGTGAGCAAAAATATATCTACAATTTCAATACAATGCAGAGCCTTAAAATCCCATCTGTCTTTCCAGGTATTTCCTTGCCTTGCATGGTGCATTCCTCGGTAGTACACTGAATTCCAGTAAAAATTATACAGGTACTCTTTCTGCGCAAGTGGAATGTTCAGGCTGCAAGACTGCCGATACAGACTACACTTGCTCCCCAATCTTTATTTCTTTTAATTACACAAACACATGGAGCACTATTTGTACTGCAGGATTCACTGTGTTAGCCTAATTTACTAGTACAAGAATATAATCACAGGGGCCATTATGAGACTCTTTTTCCTTCCAAAAAGTCCTTAATTTAGTGGTTCTGCTTCAGTGGTGGTGGACAGCACGATGAAAAGAGACACATTTCTAGGATTTCCCTAGGAGCTCCACTGGAGTTCCTACTGTGCAGCTGACTGGGGAGCACAACAGACAGGGAGGCTACTGTGACTTTGAGGATGAAGCAGCAGCTCCGAAGTAATATTGCTGATATTTTGTACCATAAGTAGTGGAGGAAGAAAATTCTTCCTCCCTCTGCCCATCAACAAAACAGTGAGGAAAGAATTTGCTTCAGAGTTCCTCTTAAAAAACCCCATATTTGTTACAGCCTCTATTTTGAGTTATATCCACATTTTAGGCAGGCACCAATGTCCCCATATGAATCTGGGTACCAGACGGTGATTCCATCTCTTTTCTGTATGGTTTTTAGGGTTGCCAGGTGTCTGGTTTTCTACTGGACAGTCTGGTATTTGCGCCCTCTGTCTAGTAGAAAAATTCAGAAAATACCAGACACGTGCAATGTCCAGTATTTTCTAAATTTCCATCTGGGCGCCAGATGGAAGCCTGGCAGGGGTGGGGACGCGACTGGGAGGTGGCCGCGATTGGCGCTGGGAGCCCTGTGGTTGCGTGCAGAAGTGGGGCGGGGCAGGGGCAGTGTCTGGGGCGGGGCCAG